TCGTCGCAGCGAGAGTACAGGGAAGGATAATAATTCATACCCTATATCGTGCAGAAGAGAAGAATATAAAAAAAAAAAGAAAACGAAGCGAAAATTTCGATTTCCTTTCTTGTGGACAGGGCATTGTAGGTGAACGTGGCTTCCTTGTTTGATTCGCCAAAGTAGCAACAAAGCGACATTTTACGATCGAGCGAGCACCGTCGGAAACACTGCCCAAAATAATTTTATAGGGAGTTTCACGGCTTTCCACTGCGACATAAGCACGTGGATAGAAAAACAAATATTGACAACAATAATTGTCGAATATTTTTGGCACGTTCACACCTGGTTTTTCTTCATAATTTGATGACTCATATGTTGATTTTGTTTGCGGAACCGTACTTCTGACCGGCAATTTTATTGCCTGCGCGAAGCTTTTGCGTGCGATCCACTACAGTTAATTATTTTGGGGTGTCCAAGTTGAAGCGGTGCGTGTTATTTTTCGATCTCTGTCCGAATGATACAAAGTTTCACGTTTTCACCCTGTGAGTGAAGTGAGTTGGTCAGTGCTAGCATCGAAGGCTAACTTCGAACTCTAATTTGGAAATAATGTCTCTGTTGCCGCATCGCGGACAAAGATATATATGCTCTTATCACTGTAGCAAAATAACGTGGCAGGATTTGTGCTCTTGTTATGATCGTGTACCATTGTAGTCGACGTCATCCCAGCACGGCGTATCGTTTTTGTATTCGGTTCAGCCCTGCAAACCACACTTAGGAAAAAAATGAAAGTTTGCACCTTGTTAGTTCAATTTTTTGTTATAGTACTGCAGAAACATATTGCGCCCCGTGTTTTTGAAGGCACGGTAGACGGTGGTGACGGTGAGGTGACCGACCCCCATGTCAGCCGGCGTCTCGCTCGACCTCCTCGGAGGACAGGTCGTTTTTACTGGTGACTGGTGCATACGTGGAGCAACTCCGCGCGCATTGCGTTCTTCATCTCAGAGAACGCAATACATGACTCAGCTCTATCTCGTCATCGCTCCAAAATGACAAGTGGAATTCGCAACTGTAGTCGGTGACAGGTCAAGAACGAAGTGGGAGCTCCTCCCACCCTGTTCCACTTCAGCGGAGCGAACGGATGAGAGGAGGTCGCCCCCTCTCCAGCGTTCGCAAATGGCAAATATTAGTTTATTAGGCCACTAACTGTCAATTTACGCTCGTTCCTTTACGTCCGCCGCAGCCGATAATGTTATCCCCGGGAATACCAAAAGTATAATTTCTTTCAGCAAAAAAAAAACAAAACAAAACAAAACAGAATAATAAAACGCCCGGTATATCACAGCTTTGACAACGCTTCACGTGTGTGAGGTTCGATGACCGACAGAGAACCATCGCTGGCCGTGCTCCCGAAGCGGGGAAGTGCAATTTATGGAGACCGATCATATTATCAGAAAGGTGCAGACTAGGGAGCCTTCACGTGCGCGAAGCGCACATGGAGGCACTCTAATGCAGACAATCCAGGAAAAGTATTCTTGCAACTATGAGGTTCCAGTTGTACTTACACATGCATTATCGTCAAATTTGACGGAGTTCCTTCCAACACTAAAGAGTTGTCAAGAGTGAAGATTATAAAGGAGAATACCAGCTGGAATCTATTGTCTGTTTACTGAAAACAAAACAAGCATCAGAAAAACGCATTTGGGCGGCCGGGGAGGCCAGAAGCACGGACTGCGCGCACCCAGCGTGGAACCAGCGAATGAGAGGGCACTCCTAGCAATCTGTTTTCAGAGCCACGGTATGCCGGCTGCCGGCCAAATGTCCACTTTAATTCTATTATGGCTTTCGAAACGTAAATACACGCTCGAGAATTTTCAACAATATCACGCGAGCGCCGACCGGCCTGTAGATCAGCGCATCGTCACGGCGCGAAGTAGCGATATCAATGACAGTACGCGCGTGCGCAGAAGAAACGCGCCGAAGTCGGCGTCGGCTGCTAAGCTGTTTCCCCAATCACGACCCACCCCTGGCGCGACGCCCACCGCTTGCTCCACCCCATAAGCAGGGGACCTAGTAATCAAAGCGACACACACGGTACGCAAACACGAACAGCAGCCAGTAGGAAGGACACCGACACGAGCTTAGTCAGCGAACGAAAAGACAGACACAAACTTCACTCTAGGCAAACAGAGCAGGGGTAGTTACAAGGATGAGATGCGAAGCAGACGGAGGTAAGCAGTGCACAATAAATACGCGAAAACTCGCAGCAACCGAAGAACTACGCAGCAAACGCGTACGTGCACACGCACCAGAAGCACGTGCGTCACGCTGCGTATCTACGCAGAACTGGCGATTTTGGCATTTCGGTAATTTGAAACTTTGATATCGATTCCGTGAACAATTTATTCAGCAAACTAAACCGGTGGAGCCTCGCATAAAAAAAAATCGTTTAACAATATGAAAGCGACTGAAATTCTTCCTAAAAGCTATATTAGCAGAAAGTACCGTGTTATAAAGGACCTCACGAGTTTCGACCAAGTTTTCCAGCACGTTATTTTGCAAGAAACGGAAGAAGCCAAGTGTACAACCAGTTTCCGAAGCTGGCAACCACAGCTGGAATCAGCGCCATCCTCGGCAGTTTCCTGAACCTCGCGTAGTCACATTTCAGCCACTGCCACATAGAGGGCGCAACCAGACATCCAATTTGTGTTTTCTGTGTGTTTTATGATTCTTTTTAATAAATAGGCTCGATTAGTGAAAATGTGGGCTAATAATCAGGACCTGGAACAGTAATCTCCATTTAATACTAAAAATATCGGCCTAAATGTCTGCCAAAAGGGGTCAAAATACTCGTCTTTGGCTATCAACAAATACGTGATTTCACCTATATTCAAACTTTTTTTATGGAAAATCAAAAGTGAAATTTAGAAAAAGAGCCTCGCTTTGCAAAGCAGAATATGTTTTTCTTTGCGGGCCTACAATTTTATTCATGTGTGCCAATCCCTAAGCGCTGTACCACTGTACTACCAAATGAAGTTTGCCAAAATTAACGGTTTTTGTCACTTTTCACGTGAGCATTCCGAAAAAAGTTTAAGCTATATTACAATGAAATTTAGCGTAACTCTTTCGACCATAATTACAAACTGATGTAAAAAGTTTCAAATAAAATGACCGAGTAGGCGCCCAAAACTTCGCGACTGAAGTGCTTCCGCAAAGTCAATTTTTCTAAAGTAAATATCTGTCAAAATAAAATAAAAAACGAAAAAAGGGCCTCCGTTGACAATGAACGCACTCTTCTTCTATAACATTCTAAAATTAGAAAGAAATTGCTTCAATAGTGCACCCTGTACCACTGTACTACGAAACCATGTTTTGCCGAAAAGGTCAATGTTCGCGGGTGCCCTCTGAATTAGCTTTTTGCACTAGGAAAACAAATCCTACATCAGATAAAAGATAATGTTGTACACTACAAGATGATATATAACACATAATTTTAGCAAGCTTGAACACGCCACGATCGCATTTCGAAAACGTGCTGAAAGCGTCATATGTCATGGCCGCCGTGGGACCGCAGCCTTAAGTTAAGCGTAGTTTAGTGCTAGGTTTAGCGATAAGCGAGTTTGGTGCAACCGAACGAAACCGAAACTAAGCTTAAGTTCCCGGCTAAGCTCCGCTTTGCGCTAAGCGACGTTGGTGCAACCGACCCTTAGTAGTCGCATAAAACTATAGTTACCTTAAACCGAACTGTATACGGGCAAGATCTAAAATAAAAGTCTTTTTTTTTCTGTCCTTCACATCGAGGTAATTTTGTCTGGCCGTCAACAGTTAGTTTGAGTTTTTATTGTGATTAATAAATTGGGGACGACCTGACATTGTCTTTTATTCTTATATATCAGTTTGTGTCGGACCAGATTTTCTTGCTATTTTTTAAGGCTACAAAAGTAAACATTTTGTTTAAAATTTAAAATGAAAAGTGCACATTTTACAATATAGAACAGAAAAAATACTGCTACACCTTCGCTAAATTTTGCGAAAAAGAATTGACGTCACGTGACATCAATTTTTCCGCGAAATTTAGTGACGGTTCATCACATGTCGTTAACTCGTTGAATTGGGCTGATAAAACGTAGTGTGTAAAATATTCCTAGGAAGCTTCGTCTTGTAGCGTTCAATTGTGGCGACAGAAACGTCAAACAAAATGGCCGACATGAAGTCGACTATTATTGTAACCTATGTAAGGTTGTTTTGGGGTTCTAAACGCAAAGCACGTTGTGAACCTGTGCTGCCGGCTGACTAGATATATATAGTTAAAATCGGAAGCACCTCACCCGTTTATTTACATTATCATAACTATATAATTTTAGTGTATATCACCGGTTATACACTAAAATGAACTGTTTCCACTTTCAGGTCACATCGTCCACAGGTGTGACTTTCCCAGTAGCAACTCGAACGAAATATCAGACGCTTCCTTTTTCCTGCGTGCATTCAAAACAAAACAATTTTTTCGCCTTAAAAGCTACAATTGTTCACTCCAGACTTCATAATTCGGCAAAAAAAAAAAAAACTATATATATATATATATATATATATATATATATATATATATATATATATGCGCCCAATACGTCACACCTGGCGCCGCCTGCCTGGCGATCGAGTGGCGTGTGTTTCACAAAAGGGCAGAGAGGGTTACGAAGATCGAACTGCCCCAGTTGCTTTCGAGCGAGTATTATACCCTTTTCAAAGGTTCATCGAGCCACCTTGGTTGTCGGCATTGAGTTAGGCTAGGTGGCGCAAGGTACCGCCCGTTACAAAGGGTATAGCCATTAATATCCATCCATCCATCGAGAACGAAGCTTGTGGTTTGATCCGAGCCCTCGCCGAACGCTGACGCAACCCTCGCGTCCAATACAAGCTCACGGGTACCACCTGCACAAACAATGGCGCACTCGGAGGATCATGGCGCAGCAGCTACAAGACGGCGCGCACTATTTAAAAAGGTGGTCCGGTGATTACAGATACCCTCCGGGCTACCAGAAGCAGAACGTGCCGTTCGACTTCTTCAACTACGCGGGCATCCACCGGAGCGTGGCCCTGTTCACCACGCCGAAGCACTACATCCGGGACATCACGCTGGTGACGACGAAAGTCTCAAACAGCAGCGGTACGTGTGCAACTCTACACGGGCTGTGGTCGCCGACCATAGCCCGTGTAACGGATTACCGTTACAAATTACTTTCGCTGAAAAGCAATGAATTACGGATAAACAGACGTGTGCCCGTGACGCGAACAACATAATCGATTACAAATACAAATAGCTTGCCTCAAATGTAACGGATTACCGTTACAGATTACTTTCCCTGAAAAGCAATGAATTACTTTGCTCGTTACGTTACTAATTACTTCACGTTAGTTTTACTTATCAAGTAAACAATAGAAACAATTTCGATGTCTTCAAAAATGTTGTGCAACACTACTTCCCATTTTTCATACGCCCGCATTATGGTAGTCCTTGTCAAACAAAAAATGCTGTATTTAAGAGAAAACAAAATGTAGGCGCACTCCGTCCACTTGTAAGCTGACAAGGCAGCGAAAGCTGCAATCCCACCCGCCATCCCACTATCTTACTGCGACCGGAAATGATCCCTGGAAGTGTGCGCACAAATCTAGCGGTGCACATTGTCAATAGGGCGTTTTCGTAGATCGTTTTCGCCGTCCCGCAGCGCTCTCCGCAACCGACTACGATACCCGGAACTCTACAGTCAAAGCTATCGGCGCGCAGGTGCAGCAGCGGCTTCGTTGCGGAGGGCTTAGCGGAGGGGGAAACGCGGTCTACGAAAACTCCCTATTTACCTCCGCTGGGAGATTCGGAGGTAAGGAAAGCTCTTTTTTACGGGCCTTTGAAGCATGAGTGCAACGTCTCAAGGCTGCGATCTCGTGCCTGTGGCTTTGGCGTACTGTCAGCTTACGAATGAACGGAGTATATACTCTGTTTCACCTATATGATGTACCGCAGGAAAGGCTACAAGCGCGAGCTCAATTGCTCTAGGGCACATCTCGGCGGCACAAGCTCTCGTGCGTTAAGAGTAGCTCCCAACGCTATGAGCTCGCGCTTTTAGCCCTGTCTGCGGTACAACATCAGGTGAAACGGAATATAGTTCCATGCAGTACTGAAAAATGCATCGGCGCGAGCGCTTGTTTTTGAGCTTTGGTCGAGCGGGTGGTCGTACACTCCGGATGGCCAGAAATTTGCGGCACGCGGTTCTAGTTCACTTATCCGTCCCCACGTGACGTATTCACTTGCAAACTTTATGCCGTGTGCCCGCCTAAGCGGTATGTGTGCCGAGTGAAAAAACAACAACGGTAAGTTCAAAAATGAGAACAGGGTGAGATAATTGCGGTTGCAACATACTGATAACTTTATCATTCTCCCTTGCTATTTCATGGCGATACTGCGAGCAAAGGAAGAACATCGGAACTTTTAAACAATTTCGCGGCGCACACATTTTTCATAACTCTTACAGTTGACTTGGAGTGCGATATAGTTAGGTAAAGCACCTATGTTGCATCTTGTTCGGACCTCTAGCGCTACCTTTGGACGGAGTATGAGTGTTCGGCATTGCGTAGTTTATTTTTCCGGTGAAAAAAACCCTGTACATTTTTTTCCGGGGACACCCTATACAGTGCCAAGGAAGCTTACACTGGCGAGGAAGGTTTTTTTCTCGATCTTGGGCACGGCTGGTTCAGAATGATCCTTTCGCAGCTTCGAAAGGACCGAAATAGCGATTGCCATGGCAACAAATACCGCTAAGTCAATCGCTTGGCAAGGTCTTGGTCGTATGTATGTTAGCATCTGTTCATGTCTTGCTAGCAGGCGGGGAAGGTATACTTTCCCAGGAATCAATGACTATATATGAGCGTCCCCATCGAGTGCTTGTCTCCAAACTAATAATAGTTGGTGACTTTTTAAGAAGGCAGTATAAGCTTGAGCATGGGTGTGGGTGCTCCAGGGCAGGCACCGGTGTTACGCAATACCCTTAGGATGCTACGGACACTCTAAACATTGGGTGCAAACAATGTGAGCATCATGCAAGGAATTTCTTTTTAGGAGCAGCAAGTTTACAAGCAATATGCACCTCCTGCAGTTGTTACGCACGTACGAAAATCAAATGCGGACGTAATTAATCACGCACGAGAGAGGAACCATGACCCTGGTGACTTCTCCATCGCCTTATGCACTCGACAATTGAAAGATACTAATTCGCAGCTGACCATCTCCAAGATTACAAAGGTTACACGTATGTTGCTTTGTTGTCAATATTTCGTGTAACATATAATATATCTTCGTTCCAGGAATGCATCTCCAAGTAAAAGGTATTAGTACGGGCAATACTCTTTTTTTTTAATAGTATCTAAAATAAAAAAATAAAACACTTTCAGCCTTTCCACTCTGGTGAAGAAGGAAGACCAGCGGAGCTGTACAATAGGCTGGATGGATGGATGGATGAATACGGCTGAGCCCTTTGGATCGGGCGGTAGCTTACGCCACCTAGACATTTTGTTTTACCATTTAAGCTTAGAATATTTAAAAGTGAAATCTATATTCACTCCGCAGTGCAAAGAAAGTGAGGTTATGAAACCCCCTTGCCATCAGTGGATAAGAAAATACCTAGTTTTCTCTCGATTTCTGCCACCATTCACTTAATCTTTGCTTGGTAATCTCTACAGTCTTGAAATCCACTCTCCCTTCGCTGTCTCTAAAACCCAATGACTTCATTAAATCTATGTTGTCTTCGGTAGGCATAGGGTGAAGCCCTTTACAGTAGAGTATCAAGTGTTCAGCCGTCTCGTCCTCCTCTCCACAAGCAGTGCACACTGTATCAATTTCCTGGTACTTCACTCTGTATGTTCTGGTTCACAGAACACCCGTTCTTGCCTCAAACAGCAATGAGCTTCCCCTAGAATTGTCATAAATGCTTTCTTTGGCAATAACTCTTTTGTTTAATCTATAGCTTTCCAGAGCCGTCTTTGTCTGCATTCCCTCTAGCCACCAATCTCTTTCTGTGGCCTTAACTTTCTTCTTAACTGAGACTTGCTCTTCCGTATCTTCGCTATAGCCCAAAAACTTTCCTCTTAATTTCCTAGTGCGCTGTCTCCACTTTGTGTCTACACTCCTCATGTATAAATAGCTGAAAACCTTTCGTGCCCATTGCTCCCCGTCCATTTGCCTCAACCTATCCTCAAATTCTACCTTGCTCACCGCTTCCCTGCTCTCAAATGATGCCCATCCCATGTCTCCTTGTACTCCCTGGTTTGGCGTTTTGCAATGTGCCCCCAAAGCCAGTCTACCTACTCCGCGCTGTTTTATTTCTAGTCTCGCATGCACTTCGGATTTCATGCATAGCACTGCGTTTCCAAAAGTCAAGCCAGGCACCATGACCCCTTTCCAAATCTCTCTCACCACCTCATACCTGTTGTAATTCCAAAGTGCTCTATTTTTCATTACAGCTGCATTTCTGTTGCCCTTACCTATTATATACTTTTCATGGTCTCTGAGATATTCTGCACCATCACTTATCCATACTCCTAGATACTTGTATTTACTAGCTCTCTCAACTGTAATATTCTGTATCTTCAGCCTCTCAACTTCATCCTCGTTAAAAATCATGACTGCCGATTTTTCGCTACTGAATTCTAAACCTAATTCCTCTCCTTCCCTACCACGGATGCTCATTAATTCCTGCAACTCTGTCCTGTTGTTAGCCATTAGTACAATATCATCCGCATACATCAATCCCGGTAAGGATTGCTGAATTTTTTGACCTAGCTTACTGTAAGAAAGGTTGAACCCAAGCCCACTCTTCTCTAGTCTATCCTCCAATCCTCTCAGATACAACATAAACAGCAAAGGCGATAACCGGCACCCCTGGCCTTATTCATTATTAGCGCCATCTCTCGGCGGCCACGGGTACTATCAGAGGTTCGGTGCCATCTTTGAGGCTTCGCCTCGCGCCGCCCGCCGCATTACGAACCCCTCTCTCCGCGTTGCGTTCGTGCATGCTCCTGCGTTTTTTTTTTTTTTTTTTTTTCTTTTGTATATTGATGGTATTAGTTGTTCGAGAAAAACTAGCGAATATTGAGCTCAAGTTTGTTTTCAGCTGTTTCACTAAGAATCTCTTTTTATAGAAATGAGCTTCATTACAGAACCAGAGCAGGCCGACTCACGCTCTTGTTTCAGGATCGTGCGTTAAGTTGCCTGATCAGCCGATTATGCCTGTTCGCACAAAGACGATTTGTATGATATATTTAGCAGAGCCGTCAGCTACTGTGTGACGGTTTGTTTTATTTAGCATTTGCGGCTGCGGGTCTAAATAATGCGAGCAGTTCTTCACCCAGTGCGCATTGACCCAGCGTGTGCAGACCCGAATTGCAGAATTCTATGATTGCGGCGTTGAACATTAAATCTTAATTGGTTCCCGTTGTCTTAACCTTAGGAATATAGAAGATATGATTCCACACACACACACAAAAAAAATACATAAAAATAAATTTATTACATCGATTTTTATTTAGTTTCTTGGGGAGAACATCAAATGATAGCTCAAAACATCATTATAAAGAGTGCGTGCGATACAGCACTAATTTACGATGGTAGTATCTTTTATTGCAGGCAAAAAAAAAAAAGAAAAACTAGGCTGAAGATCTACACTAGCATGCTCACGTATGCGAGGCACAAAAGTGTAAAAGGAAATGACCAGCGTGTCGCCGCAATGCAAGTATGCGGAATATAACGTATGAAAAAAAAAAAGCGATTTGACAGAAATTTCAAACATTTTCCTTTTGTAATCATCATAATAATGCTAACAAATAAATTCAGTACTTGCGCATATATGCTCCTTGGCCCCTTGAGAGAAAATGCATTAATAAATGTGAGCGACAGTTTAATGTGCTCCTCCTGGTAGCGCGGTCAAATAGAGTTAAATTTCATGCTTACTCGCAATAGAATATGACCAGTGCTCATAAAAGGGGCTGCTTGCAGTATTGGCTCCAAATCAAAAAGCTTCTCCCGCAGCGCGAACCCGATCTGTTGGGAAGCGAGCAAGCGCGACTGTTGAACTCGCCAACAGGTCCAGGTTAGCAGTCGAGAAGAGCCCGCTTCTATGC